CGCTCATCCCTCTCAATGTACTTGTAGACTATGTCACTCAGGCGGCAATGAATGCTCTGGGTGATAGACTCCTCCAGAAGGTGGCAAGTTTCACATCAGACTTCAATATCAAAGCCACGGAGGCAGCATAATCGATACGGCGTTCCCTGGTTGCCTTTAACTATTGCACAGACAAGGAAATTCAACGATTTGGGGACGCTGCAGAAGAGCTTCTCAAGCTTTTTGAGGCAAAAAATCAAATTCTTGCCCCAAGCAGAGGAGCAAAGGCTGAAAAGAAGAATGGACCCAACTCCATGTGCCGAGGCCTCCAAGTGAAGGAGGGTTGACGATGATGAGGACCCAGACCTGTCTGGCCCTCAAAATCGTCAAATGGGGGAGAATCAGTCCACCCAAGCTCCAAGTGTCACACCAAGGGCTGCCCCCTCTGCTCCACGCCAGCCAGATTCTTCAAGGCAGAGAGCACAAAGTCATCCAGCGCATGCAGAGGCGCTTCGAAAGGGAAAGATGCCCATGACATCCCAAGCAGAGCCAGCAGGGCGACAAAAGGGTGAAGACGTAATCCAACTCCTATCCGTCTACGTCTGATATGAGTCAGAAGCGGCTCTGTCTTCCTCAACAGAGTATGCCATGGACACAGCTGCTCTAACAACAAGAAGGCAAGAAGAAGAGGTGGTAGCAGTGAATGTAGCTAATCCATCACTCATGGTCATTCCTATTGTCTTTCCTCTTGAAGGCGTCACAATAGTTGCTCCTCCACCAACAAGAAATACGCACAGAGCTAGAGTCCCTGCTCAAAGGACCAGAGTAGTCACTCCGGCTATGAGGCAGAGGGTCCCCTGTCAAACCAACAAGAACAGAAGAAGGCGCAAGCAGTAGGCCTCGGAGCACCAAACATCCCTCTGATCAAGTTCAAAAGATCAAGGGTAGCATGGATGCAATGATGAAGCCAACACCCCCAGACAAGCCAATAAAGGACAAGGCAGACAGCAAAGACATCTACCAGTTTCTTTACAACCTGCGAGAGGAGACACCAGTCATCAAGATCAGTCTCCATCCAATGGTCCAAGAAAACATCAGGCAGAGGTTCTTAAATCACTACACACAGCCTATCTCTGTAGTCCACTTTGTCGATGGAATCAAGCAAATCCTCGACATCAAGAAACGTACCTTTGCGCACAATCAGATCGTCTTCCATGAGTATACGGTGGAAAGGTCTCGCGGACAGATCTGCACGTTCACAGATTGTGATCTTATAAATATGAATTTGTGTGACCTTCTGTCTCTGTATTTCTTCACGGACCATAAGAAGAATAAGAGGCTCAAATATGTTGTGGCCAATTCTGCGATACGACAGACAGTAACAGACTTACTCGACTTCAGATGCAAGTTTGACTTTCAACTAGCTCTGGACCTGGGAATGGATCAATTGATCGTCGCTGCACCAAACGAAGATCTGCAAGGCATCGATAACATTCCCTCATAAACCGTGTTGGTGGAACCAGAGGTGGGGTGGTCTTCCGAAATGCACAAGGAAAGAAGATATTTTTTTGAGATGACCAAAATTACAAGTACTCAAACTCTACTCTGCGCTACATCAGAGATCACTTAGTTAGGAGCAGAGATACCTCCCCTAGAGAAAAAGAAAGAGCAAAAATTATTTTAAGGTCAATTGACAACATGCTGGAGTTTCGAGAACTTCTTAGGAGGTTCATCAAACTTCAACACATCTAGACCTTATTTTTGTAAGCATTTTTTTATCTTTTCAGTCAATGTAATTTCCTCTCAATCATGTTGTACTTTCTAGATAGTTAATGTAAAACAGAGGTTCCTTTTAACCTCTGGCTTCGACTAGACATGTTTTTCAATTCAAGTAAGAGTCTGCCTTATTTACACTTAGGGGGAGATTGTTAGACCCCAACTTGTGAAAGTGTAAGTAAGAAGTCTCTTACTCTAGTCTATAGGAGTTAGTCTATTGAAGCAGTCTGGACTAAGAGCTCTCATGCAGAAGAGGTCAAGAACCAGAGCTCTTACTTAAAGAGTGAAGGTTCCCTTCATACAGATCCCGCGCTCAATCTCCGTGGACGATCAAGCCTTATGCGCCAAAAAAGTATAAGCGCTTGATGCTAAGTTACAACTCCAGACACAGAGCCTCTGCATAGTATATGCAGAACCTCTGCATAGTACATGCAGAGCTTCTGTATAGTACATGCAGAGCTTCTGTATAGTACATGCAGAGCTTCTGGTCTCCTTCTCCATGGAACGCGCGTGCAAGTCCAGACATTCTCGCAAGCGTCAAACAGATTTAAGGCTGCTTGACTTAGTCCACTCCACTTTTCAAGGGAAGTCAAAGATAAGGACTCGGACTCGGCAACTCAGAGATTCAAGCCTTAATTATAGCATAGTTGTTTGACCTAGGCGTATATAAGGAGGCTTCCTCCTCAGGTTGAAATTACCTGAGAGTGTCGACTTATACTATACATATTTTATTGTGAGATTACATTTTGGATTGATTGTTCTTTACTTTCATCTAATAAAAGCATTCAACATATTCAAGTCCTTTCGCTTTCTTATATATATTGAATATTTCGCTTAATCATCCTCGATACACTGTTTGTATTTCAATCTTATTATTTATCAACTGTGTTTTCTGGGAATTAAGAGTATCTAGGTTCCAACAAGAGTTTTTCCGCATGACTAATTCATCTGTCTCGTTAATTTTCATTTTTTGTTGTTTACCGGTTTAATTTCAAAGTTGATCAATCTTAATTGTTAAAGCTCCACAAAGAAACCTTAGATTATAATTGGTATAATTTTTGGCATAAACAACCATCGTCACCGTCATCGTCACCGTCATCGTCATCAATGTATGAACTTTCAAGGACATACCAAGAGAGGATTTCTTCAAATATTAAATGGGAGTGAAAGAGGCTTGGGTAGAGAGTGGGTCTAGAAGGGGTTCAAAGAGAGCTTGAGAAGGGAGGGAAACTACTACGGGTAACATTGTTTCTGGGGATGAAGCTAAAAGAGAGGTTGAAGGTTGAGAAGAAAGAACTAAGACAGGTGGGTTAGTTTCAAAAGATGTTGGAGGGTTTGCCCATATCAATTTAGGGGAGGTTATGTTCAGACTCCCCCCCCCCCTCCCCCCCTAAATTAATTATGATATGGCACCACTAATATCCATTAATAGTTTTCTCTTTTATGATTTTACCACGTCATATTAAGTTGGTTTTTTAAAATATGAATCAAATCAAAGTTAGTTATTTTAATGCAATTTTTCCTTATTTTTATTATATTAAAGATATAACATAATTTTTAATTTTTAATTTTTAATTTTTAATTTTTAATTATTTTCAAGTAAAGCTCAATATCACCATATCTGTATATGCAACAAATTCTTGTGATTTTAATGTATGGTAATTTTTAAAAGTAAAAGAACATTAAATTTATATATATTTTGAATTGGATCATCAATGAACAATAAAAAAAAGCTTGAGATAGATTGGAATTTATTGTTACATAAATGAATGAACGAGAGTGATTTTTAGTAAGGGATTGAGTCTCCATAAACGTAGTCTCATCCCACCATATTTCACTGCTAACCAAAAATTGTACCAATAAATCAACAAGGATTGTGTTTAATTAACTGGCAAATGGCCAACAACGAACTTAGGAAACGTTTCGTTTGATGGAATGATTTTGAGGGATTTGGATTTTGTAAATGGATTTGAAATTGGAGGGATTTAGATATTTGATGTGTTAGGATTGTAAGACTTGGAATGGCAATGGATAATATGATTCCATTTTTTATTAAATAATTTATAAAAACAAATTAAAAATAATTAACTACAACTTCATTAATTGATTAAGGTAAAACAAATATTTTTAATATTTTTTGAAACATTATTACATACAATCCTACGAAAATCCCTTAAAATACAAGCATGCCAAGGGATTTCAAAAGCTTATGTTTGTGCGATTTTAAATCCAGAAAATATTTTGAACCAAATATGAAATTGGAATAAAATTCAATTTCAAACTCCTCCAAATTTAATCCAATTCTGCAAACCAAATGGTATCTTAGGTGTCGTTTGGTTTGCAGGATTTTTAAAATCCGAAGGGATTTGGAATGAAATTTCATCACAATCTTATGTCTAGTTTGAAAGAATGCTTAGATTTGAAATCCCAAATTTAATTAAAATCTCACAAACATGAGATTTAGAAATTCTATAGGGATGGTATTGGGAAATTTATAAAAATAATCATTCTTCAGGGTTGGTTTCACCTTCTAGCCATTTTTTCTCCAAGTTTACCAAAATAGTCATAGGTGCACAAAACTCACATCCGCATTTGCGGACCCAGCTAAAAGACAAAAAAATTCACTTTCTACCCTTGTTCGCAAAAAAAATTAAATGTTGCTTCACCTTGGCCCACAATAAAACTTACATTTCTCACCCAGTTCGGGGAAAAAAATTAAAATTATGGCCCTATAACTATATTTTGGTAAACCTTATAAAAAAATGGTTGAGATGAAATAACCAATAAAAATGACTACTTTAATTAGTTCTCGGATGGTATCTTACATGATTTCATAAAATTTATTTGTAACAATATTTTAAAATAAGTTAAGAACATTTGTTTTATAATAATCAATTAATAAAAAAAGTAATTTATTTATTTTATTTGTTCTCGTAAATTATTTAAAAAAAATTAAATTCAAATCCATTCCAAATCCTACAAACCAAACTCACCAAAAATTCCAAATCCTTCTACAAAATCCAAATCCATCAAAAACATTCTCAAGTTTAAATCAAACAGCCCTTCGAGGTACAATTTGAATCACATTGACCAATTTCACCATTATATTTGATAGGATCTGATCTGTGCTATTAGCATTTTACATTTCTTAAACTTGCAACAAAAAGCAAGCTCTCCGATATTACCAAGTAAATCAAATGAGCCCGATATATCCTATTCAGAAGCAGCGTATAGAGTTGAGATGTATGCATAAATGGTTACAATAAAGACCCAACTTATGGAAAAATGTGAGCAAATTGGGAAGAACCAAGGCTAAATTGACCAAAATAACCAAGAAATGATCTCAAAAAACATTGGGTATCAACGGTTTTCTGGGACATGCTTATCTAAAAAAGATCGAGCGAGATTGCTAAAGCTAATGCTGACACCACCAGCAGCTGCGTACCTTCTGATGATATTGACTACTTCTGGTCTCAAGATGGCTTCCTTCGTGGATACGTTACACAAATAATACAAAGCCCCAAGAGCGTAGTTCACCTACCAAACATTAGAAACTTGAATAAAAGTGCCAAAACATCAACATTACAAAAAGAACTCGTCATCATTAGTATGAGAAAATGTTCCTGATATTAGAGAACCAAACAATTAGTTCTTCTGCTGTTAGTACAATACCACCTTGACCACACCCTAAATTAGACAACTTGTAAGGAATTCTCAGCTGACTTCCTTACCCTGCTTGATGATTTGCAAACAACTAATTCGAATTCAGGCCACTAGACTTCAATAAATTAGATAACACAATTTCTAATTGGGGATGTCCCTAAGATAAACCTGATATATCTCACTCAAAAGTAGAGTCCGGGGACATGTGGGGACCTGACCTCCACTGCAAAGGCAGTGGGTATAACTGCTGTCCTAGCCATGCTGATGTGTAAATTGGTAATTTTTAAATTCAAATGTTGTGAAAGAAAAAATGATGCAATTTTCACCAAACCAAACAAGCCCAGTAAATCCGGTCTGGGAGGGTGGTATGTAAGCATATCTGACCTCCACCCCGAATACTTTCTTTGTGTTTCTCTCTTAAGTTAATCATCTTGTTATTTAAAAGAAATAATGGTATGTGTATTGGTGTGTGCGCCATGCCTATTCTACAAGAATTTGAACACTTCTCAATTTGGTGTCTCGTGAAAATTGTGTCCCACCCCATCTACTATTCAGGGTGGAGATTAGGCATGCATATATCCCACCCTGTGGAGTTTACAGAGCTTGTTTCGTGAAAACGGCATTAAGTTTTTCATCCACAATATTTAAATTTAAGACTACCTATTTACCTATCAGTATGACTAGAACTTAATGATTCTATCAATTGGATTGTAAGGTTTATTTATTTCGTCATTATTGGATAACATTTAAACCATGTGATTAACAGTCCTAAGTTTTCATTCAAACTAGTCTACTCAAATATCTCAATTTCCTATGATGGATGGAGTAATGACTAGTAATGAGCAAAGAGACAAGTATAGATTGACACTTTTCCAAAAAGGACAAAACAGCGTCTATACCTTTTGAGGTGGAGATCAAGTCCGCATACCCTCAGGACCCTATTGATAGTTAAACTCTTTCATTAAATATGTGCAAGTCAAACTTCATACTTGTTTTGGGATGGAGTGAGTGCTAGTCTAGTGATGGTTTACATATGTATTATCAGACTAAATGAACATCCCTCTTTTGCATAGAAACAATAGCAATTAGATAAAAGAAGGTAAAAGATACAAAAAATGATTTGTTTGTAATTCTTACCGTATTTTTTACAGGACTTGACAAACATTGTATAAGAAGAGGTACCCCATCACATTTGGTTATAACCGCAGCATTTGCAGGATCTGTAGACATAAAAAGTAGTTTACCTCGGATGGTAGCATTCTATTTTTTTTCCTTTGCAACTAAAACCTTGAAGCATTCTGAGCTAATAAATCTATCCAATGGCTTAAAATGGTTTTAACATACCAACACACGAATTGCAAATCCCTCCGGCACCAAACTCTATTAGCTTCTCATTGGGTTCTGTTATGCAGTCGAGAAAAAGTTCCAAAACATTAAGCTGTTTAAAGTTAAGTACGGTTGTTAAGTACAGCAGATGTTGATTGTATCAACTACGAAGTATATAAATCATAAAGAATTAACCTGGCGCAGAAACGTATAATTGTAGGGATCATATGCGAAGTTCGCCAAATTAGCAACAATCTTTTCCTTCAACTCTGCAATTATGAAGAATCATTAAGGAAAAAAAATTGAAAGACAAAGTCAAGATTCTTAATATACTTGACGTGTGTCTCTTTGTAAAAGATGAGATGAATGAAAAGTCCCATTTACTTGATATGAGAAGAAATAAAGATGGGACAACTGCGTCCCATTTACTTTATAGAACTTGATGGAAGACAAAGTATTGTCACAGAAAGGCATACAATCACTCTACAACATACCTTCATTAGACGCATTCTGAAACTGAGCTACGAGTTCCTACAAACATAAAGAAATAAAATACATCAGAGTACTTATACCCATACCAAATATTTCATTAACGTACTTGTTTGATTCAATTCTGCTCAGTCTGCTGAATGTTGTATCCAATGGACACATAAATATTGAGGAAAACCAACAATGAACCAAAAAAGAAAGGAGACGGGTCTGTATGAATACAAAAATGAAAAGGAAAGCTATGGAGATAAGTGGAAAACAAAACGCATAAACCCTAATTATTTGGAACTATTTGGATAGTCAGAGTGTGAACATTTTTAGGTTTTTATAACAATACACATAAGATGTCCAAGTATTTAGGTGTTCCAACTCCTATTTGTATCTGGAAGTATGGTTAGCCTTGAAACAAGAATATATGAAAAATGAGTCAAACCCCTAAAGATAACAAATCAAGCTACACCCAAGGCCATCACCAGTGACCTTTTTAATAAAACTTGAATACATGGGTTCAGGCAAGCAATCCACACCCAACAACGATATGAGAGTCTGGCTGAAGTATTGGTGCTTCATAGCCAAGTACCTTCTATTAGGCAAAAAGATATCAAATAGAAAGATTGAAATAAATTTGATAGGTTTATGAATCATACCTGAAGGTACTGTACCCGAGGAGTACCATACTTTCCCGTACGCTCTTCTTGCCTTTGACCATTAGTGAACATATAGTAGTCTGCTATAAGCATAAAATATAATATCTTTGAAAAAGCAAATAACAATTTATTTTGCAAATTTTTAACTATAATATTGTAAAAGTAAAATCTTCAAAAGGGTGAAAGGAACAGGGAAAAGTAGAAGATTGCAACAAATTTTGTCAAGATCTGAAATGAGAAAACAACTAAACATCTTAAACATCTTTAGTCCTTCTCCTTTTAACCCTCATCTTTGAGCAGCCAATATTTTAAGAACTGAAATAATAAACATAGCAAAGAAAAACACAAATAAACAAGAGGATAAAACTTAAATGATAGAACACGGTTTGCGCATGAAATTTTGTTGCAATGCACACAGCTCTCAAGTTAAGAACATGGTCTTCATATTGCCACACGCTTGATATGTACAAAATGAAGGTCAATTCATAATATAAACAGGTCTTCTTGATACTACAGAAACTAAAACAAGCAAAGGGAAAGAGATATTCATGTTAACTATCATAGAGTAACATGCTTCACCTATGAATATTCATGTTTAGGGGTTGTTTACCGGTAAGTGCTTACCATGTGTCACTTACCTTCTTTGGATGAGTAAAGACCTAGAATCCTACCCGGTAAGAGGCATTAGCAATTAGTAAGAACCTTACCCGGTAAGTGAGCGAGAAGACTCTTACCCAATCAGCGCTTACCGGGTAAAAAAAAAAGCATACCAACAATCTGTTTTGATGGCCGAAAATGTTACCCAATTAGGCAAGTGATGTGGTGATGATCTTGCTGGCTTATCCAGTAAGTGATTGGTAAACGTCCCCTTAGTTATTGAAAAGTAGCATGCTTAAAATAACACAAGAATTAGAAAACCAACAACATTAATAATCAGGTGCTACACAGTAAGAATGAACACAGAGCACCTTCAGGGAGAATAAAATAACCTGAAGAAACGAGACTACATTGAAACAGTCTGATTCAAACTTAGCTAGCTGATAATGCATGCAAATTTATTCACCTTTTATGCCATCAATATTCTTTCTAACAATTCATGATGTATTAAAATTGATAGCAGAGCTAGTCCCTCATAAAATTTCTTAGAATGATCTACAGATGAAAACCATAGAAAGAGCTACGGGTGAGCAGTGATTGACCCAGAATTTTGTCGAGCTGGTGCATCTTTAGGCTCTCAAAGTCGTGGTTTGAGTCAAAGACTAGGCTTCCCTACAATTAGAAACATAAATGACAAACCACAAAGGACATTATACATACATGATACAGTATGTATAATTAACAGTCAACCACCCAACAATTACAAATGGCAGCAAAGGCATGGATTTCAATTAGGATTTAGGCATACATGATACATTAACATTATACATACAGACTAACAGACATACACTGAAGTGAATCAAGTGATACAGTAACAAGAATTAGAAACATAAATGACAAACCACAAAGGACCAATTTCACAGCTTCATACTTAGGCTTTGCAATCAAGCAATCAAACAATCAAACAAGAATTAGAAACATAAAAATAAAATATAAGTAACAGACATACAGTGAATTATACATACATCTTTAACAGACATACAGTGAAGGACTGAAGTGAATCAAGTGATACAGTAAGTCAGTAACAAGAATTAGAAACATAAATGACAAACCACAAAGGACCAATTTCACAGTTTCATACTTAGGTTTTGCAATCAAACAAGAATTAGAAACATAAAAAATAAAATAAGTAAAGTAAATAACCCTAAGTCTCTAACCTCACAAGTCACAAGTCACAACTCACAAGAGTCAAGATGCGAGAGCGAGAGGCCGAGAGCCGGTCCGCCGTCGGCGGTCGATAGTCGAGACTCGAGAGAGGCAGAGAGCGAGAGTGAGAGTGAGAGTGAGAACCGATTGAGTCAAGGCCGATTGCGATTTCGATTCGTGAATCGGTTTCTGTTCCTGAGTTCCGTGAGCAAGGCGAGATTGTAGTGGACTAGTAACCGTAATACTTTTATAGGCCCAAATCAGAATTGAACCTGTAAATATACATTGGCTTTTAGAAAATTGATGTCCTTGGATGTTATACTCCCTTGAGCCGTCGCCCCTAAGCCTATGATCAGGGCCGGCTGACCCGATGGATAAGTCATAGTGATTTAACCCGATGGAAAAGTCAACATGATTTGACTTGGGAAAAAAAATAATTGTGTCAGATTGGGTAATTAAATATATTTTTCAAATCGAATCAACTATTGGAAAGACCAAGACTACGTCTTAGACGTAAGTTCCGATGTCGTTTTAGCCTAATTCCACAATTTAGAGGGTTTTTTTTTGTTTTTGTGATTGCTTTCGTAAAATTTTCCAATAACATCAACAAGACAACTACGGTCTAGGTTTGAGCAAATTAAAATTAATTAATAAAATCAACATCAATCGAACAGATTTAGGGCAAATCTACAACTGGATAAAACAGATTAAAATCAGTTAAACATAATTTACGTCAAAATTAAAAACTCAAAACAAACCAACAAATCATGTAAGCATAATTATATAACATTATAACTAATCAGCAAACGACTAATATGAAATTTAGAGCAAAATTTTAATTTGGAGTTAGGTTGTGGGACAAAACCTGAGTGAGAGATTGAGAGTGAGTGAGTGAGGGAATGAGACTATGAGAGTCTGAGAAAAGTGAACGGCCAGTCACCGCCTTTGTTGGCAGCAAAGGATAGGGGCGTTGGGTCCAGGGGCCAGGGCAAAAGACAAAGGGAAGACTCTTTGACGCTTTTCTCTTTTTCTCAAATCTCAAATGCAAAATGTGAATCTACGGTGGAACTTGTATTTGGTATTGTTTGTTTCTAAAAGAAATTCAAATATTAGAGTTTGATCCTTCATCTTTGTGTTGTTGGTTAATTAGATACACATTTTATAAAATGCTATGACTGGTCTTGGGTTTATGATGTCAAGGTAGAAAGGCTATGTTTGGTAGCCTAGCAGGGAAGCTAGCTGAACGTTGATAAGTTAGTGAACAAATAAATTATGTTTGACAAAAACTAGTTTATAAGTATGTAAAATGACCAAAAATACATTTTGAAAAGTTAGTCAGTTACAATACTTTATAACTAATTAAAATAAATATCTAATCATATAATACATTAATACAAACAAGATAGTAAAAAATTAAATAATATATTATGTTAATTAAAAAAAATTCAAATTTTAAAATAAATTTTAGATAAAACCTACATTAATTTATAATATGAAAGAACCATTACATATAATATGAATATAAATAAAATCGTTCAACCTCACATATCCCAATTAATTAATAATTTTTTTAAAAATATAACTAATAATTAAATTAAATTTTTATTATAATCATTTAACATACTTTACAATCTATGAAACAAAATAAGTATAAGGGCATGTTTGTTTTTTGATATTAAGTTCTTAATACCTCTGAAGTTTGATTTGGTTAGACGTTTTTTTGTATTAAGAGCGTTTCTTGTGTTTCAAATAAGAGCTTAATGACTTGTGTTTCCTCTGAAATTTTAAGTGGTAGTTTTATCACTTAATACCTTTTAAACCCATCTCTCTAGATCTCTCACGCTCTCACAACATCTCACGCTCTCAATCTCCATATCTCTCATAGCTGCTCTCGCTCTCTAGATCTCTCATAGCCGCTCTCGCTCTCCAGATCTCTCACAGCCGCTCTCGCTCCCACGCAATTGATCCCCAAAGCGCTCGATATCTCACAATAATCGATCTCTCATGGGCACTCTCACGTAATCGATTCAAAAGGTATGTCCATTTCTACCTCCTGCTTCATATATATACAATTTGATGGTTCTTCTTTACCGGAGATTTTTGATGAGTTTTGATGGTGCTTCATTAGTGGTTTGTCGAAGCTATTGTGACTTCTGTTTGATTTTAGTGAACCCAGCCCAGTAACCTACAAGTTCTCATTTGTCTTGGCTGTAAGTTGGCTTCTGTTTGATTTTTTGCATTGAGAGCTTATTTCTTGTGGATCTTGATATTAGAATGGAACTTATATCAAAACTGCAATACAACTTTGGGGTTTCCTTTGAACTGAGTGGTATAATGGATGCACTATATTTGCTAAGCTATGTGGAAAATTGAGAATTAGTACAACATACTATCTGTTCATCTTATGCTCAAGTTAAATGTTAAGTATACCCATCAATTCTTGACTTCGATGCCTCCTATCAACATGTGTGTACAAATGAGTGAAGCAATAAAGATCTGCCTAAATAAATAAGTGCACAGATTCCAGCTTTCATATGGCCTATTTTTTTTTATATTGGTGTAAATTTGCAAATGAATCCACAAGTATAAAATTCTTGTTTTGGTACACAAAGATTGCTACTTTTTTATAGCCAAGATTGCTACTTCTGTGACATATTGCATCTGTCCAGTTTTATCCATTATACTTTCTTCAATCTCCCCTCTCCCATCAAAGTTGATGGTGTGTGTGGATTAGATAGATAAGTATGTGAAACAACTTCCAATATGAAGTACTGTCATTTTACAAGGTAACAAGAGGGAATGCCAAGATGAGCAGATTTCCTAACTAATGTCTATGATTGCTCCATGTTCTTCCTTCATAGAGGATATAGCAACCACTCTTCAGATAGAAATGTGACATGAGTTCTATTGCAAATTTGACAACATAATTATTCTCCTTAAGAATTCTATTGTTATCAAAGTTCAATAGTACATGAATACCAAGTCGTTTGCTTCCTTATATAATAGAAGTATAGAACTAGACGAAACAAACAGGCCCTAAGAAAAAGAAAATTATCATAATAAAAACCAAGCTCCAAATTCAAATTCATTATGATTCCTAGCCAATTCATGCCATCACATTAGTGTTTGTACATGATATGTAAGAATAGCCATTTCGAGGCTATTACATTAGTGTTTGTACATGATATGTATGAATTCTTAGGTTGTTTTTGATGATTGGTAGAAGATATGCTGAAGTTGAATCTGAGCTACAAGGCCCCCACTAATTATAAGCCATTGCTAAAAGAGGCTAAAGTTGTAATCCCTGTGAGTTCACTTTTGAATATGACACAAGTTCTTTTTTCTGCCCTATGTTCTCTCTTTAGGTCTTGTAGTGGTGTATCAATGCAAGAGGATCGTAGCCTTTTAGCATAACTTGGTGCTCATTAAATAACAAAATTACATGTAGATATGTCTTTAGACATAAGTTCGAATTTCTTATTTGAGCATTTGTATCTTTTGCCTTATAGATCAAATAATATCTTGGACGCAATTTTGTTGGGATAATATTTGGACTTGCGGGTGATACTCAAAAACCATTGGAAAAGGTCAGTCACACTCACTAATTCTATGTCAATGCTGAGTGCTCCACCAATTTTACTTAAAACCTTGTTTCAATTCTTGCTTTAGGAAACTGGAGCGAAAATATGAGTTTATGGTACCAAAGCAGTTACAAGAAAAGAGGTAATTTTGTGAATGGGTACCTTGTGACATGTTCTTATTGATAAACATGTTCCACCCCTTTTTGCTTTTCAAACCATATCATTTTCTCTGCAATCTGTTGGTGGGCAGGTCTACAAGTTTTTCAATTCAAGTTGTTAATTTTTCTGAGATGCGACCCAGAGGTTTAAGGTTCATCTTTAAAAATTATGTTGTTATCAAAGCCTCTTAAGAATTATGTTGTTATCAAAGTGTCTCAAGAATTCTATTATGGCGCTTCTAATTTGCATTTACTTGTGTGCTAACTACTGATGGACAAGAATGCACGTGTAAGGGGATGATGTAAAGGATCAAACCAACGAGCAAGGGGATGTGTAACATTCCCATATAAACAACCATTCCAACAGAATTAAATGTCAAGATAAATGTGTGATAACCGGGTTTTGTTTATTACCCAAGGTATTTATTATGTGACTTAATTGTTTATGTGGATACATGCTTACATGGGTTATATATGTGAGTATGTGTATTTTTATGCATAGGGATATATGCATAATATAAATATATATA